TCTGGATCTAAAAGCTATTTCTATTCCATCACCTCCCCGTTGGGTGAGGCAATCAACTTTGTTTTGTCTTGTTGCATTGAGGTAATGAGCAAGGACTTAGCTGCAATCACTTACACTCAAGGATGCTCAGGAAAAACTTGAAAGCCCAGGAGACATGAATATTTGAATGTGACCTGATGAAATTCAAGGTCTTAGAGACCTTAAAACACAGAAAATCATTTGGGTTGAAAGTAAGAATGGTTCTGCTAATAGTGATTTATTGCCTGAATGTGTGTATGTTAATCAATTTACCTAAGCTAATAAAGATGAAAATACAGCAAACCAGATTCCTTGTGCACTTAGAAAAAAGTTCTAGTAAGGCCACTGACCAGTGGTCTCTCTGTTTTGTGGCAAATACCATTTAATTTATAGGATCAGGTTATCAAATTGCTTGATGAAGACCATAAGCATTGACTCAGTCCTTTACACAGCCACATGCTCTCACTCAGTCCTCGTAACAACCTTATGATGTTTGTATATTTTTACTCCCCAATTTAAAGATAGGAAATTCAAGTGGTTTTCCTAATGGTGACCAGCAAGTCAGTGAGGGAACCAAAATTCTAACCTGAGTCTTCTGACTTTAAGTTCTGTACCGTTTTCCAAATCTCTTGGGAATTCTATCCACATAGAGATTTAAACTGGATAGGACCTTGGGTTTATTATCATTTTATTGAGAAAGAAATTCACATATTTTGGTCAGGGAAAAAGTGTAGTCTTTTTGGACTACAGTGAAACCAGTAGAACCAGAATGGTTTTTTTTTTTTTCATGTGAACAGTAGGGACAAGTATATATTCAACCCCATTCCCCCTTAAATATATATATTTCTGGTTTCTCTTGACCACTAGTTACTCACAAGAATATATACTGGTGAGATGTCAGGAGAAAAACCGCCCCTCTCTTATGTGTGATAGTAAGGTTAGTAGGCTCCAAGTAGACTCATTTGGTATTTTGTCTGGGTGAGATGTTCTTATAATTTACGATTTTGGAACGCATCTCACTGTGAATGAGCTGGTGTGTAATGGGAATATTTCATGCCAGGCTGGAAATCCCTTTTTACTTCTTAGACTCTTAGGTTGCAAGTTTCGAAAATCAGTGCTGGTAAAGTACAGTCTGGTATGTGTTCCTGGGCTTGCTAAGCGGATGCTTTCCTAATTCTTTAATCTTTGATAAAAGTCCACAACTAAAAACATTCAAGTACACCACATGAATTACTAATAAGCTCAGTTGAAGCATGCCAGGATAATTTTAGTTAACAGGTAAGTCAATATTTCTTTTACAAGTATAGTGAAATAGTGTTTACACAACTGGTGGGCTATTATGGACTATTTAACTTGTTTGAAAGAGTATAGAGCCCATTATTTGCCCGGCTCATTTTGCATTCACGATATAATCAGGCGTACGCTGAATTTCTTAACTTCCTTTCACCAACAAAGTCTAATTAATTGAGAAGGGAGGAGGATTTAAGAATAAAGATCCATTTTCTTGCAGAATTATTTGTTTAGCAAGAAAGCATTTGTTCAGCTAATTCATTACTTTGAAATAGCCTCTTATATAATATCATTCGGCTCTGTCTTTGATATGACGCAGCATAAAGGAAACCTTTAAATATATCCATATGTTCACAGTGTGCTAAAAGAAAGGACAGTGGTCCATGACGTTACCAATTCTTTTTAGTTTGTTTTTGTAAATTGAAATACAGTCAGTTACAATGTGTCAATTTCTGGTGCACAGCACAATGTCCCAGTCATGCATATACATACATATATCCGTTTTTGT